TTTTCAGTTTTCTGTGTGTTTATTCAGTATTCTTCCCCATATACCTTTAAAAATGAGATTAAACAAACAAAGAAACAAACCTGAAAATCATTTCTGTGTCATTTATTCTTTGGAAAAATTCATTCTGACTGGTGTCTAAGAACACAACTGAAGACCTCTAGTTCTAAGATTTCTAACGTAAGTGTTTCAAATGTATATTTCAAAATTCTTAGACAATCTTCCCAGCCAAAACGGCATCACTTTTGAATTAGGTTTGATGTACACAGGCAGGGCTATGAGGACTTCAAAAACGGCTCTGGGCCTGCGCGGACTAATGGGAAGAACAGCTGCCTTAAGAGTGACATATATTAGTATTTCAACTTTGTCACTTATTAGTTATGGATCATACATAAGTTTGTTGACTTTTAAAATGCTTTGGTTTCCTCATCGGTAAATTTAGAGCATGACTACTAGCTTTGGGGGTTGGGCCTCCATAATGTGGTGCTCGACACGTGATCGATGACCAGATAATCATATCTATTATAATGTCTTGTCTTTGTTGCAGAATTGAAAAATAGCATTTTAATTTTGCTTTATATTTGGACTTGGCTAACACTTTTCTACAAATCCATGCCAATGTGGCTTTTAAAACAAAATGTTAATTATAATCCTACTAATGAAAACATAGTACTGGCAGCAATGAAGATTAATTATACTTTAGAACAACCATCTCTTTTTTATCCAGGACTGCAATAATTAATTTTTGCTAATTACAAGGCATTATAATAAATAACCTCCCACTAATTGATATTCCTTGGCTAATAAGAAATTAAAGATACACAAAACAATATTTGAGGTAAGCAGATCACCTGTATTATTATTGGGTATACATCCACTTGACGTTTGTTCTGCAATCTATGACTCTGATCTATTTGAATGATGGATTTGATGATTCCCCATATGGTGTCCCTGCCTCAGGTTAGCCATGCCATAAAATAGGAAATGAAATAGGAAATAGGAAATGAAGTTCTAAAATCTATTTATGTTATCCATAGGCTAATGCCAAAAGATAAAACAGATTTTTAGGCAGAAAGATAAGATTGGGCTTTTCAATCCATAGTAAGTAACTTAAGATACTCTCACATCCTGCATCAGTAGGAAAGTATTATTAGTGATGTGGGCAAATGAAGCCCCAGATCAGAAATCAAAAGAGCTGGATTCTAGAGAGTTATATAATTTATATCCTGTGTGACTCTGGGCTAATCCTGTCTGAGCTTCAGCTTTCTCATCTATAAATGTGAATACCTATATATTTAGTAAAATAATTATGCTGCTGCTTCATTAGACTGCTGTATACAGCAAATAAAACAAATGATAGAGATAACTCTTACAAGTCAGAAATGAAAGAGATTACCGCAGAGAAAACTAATGCTAAGAGTCAAGGTGACCTAGCTAGTTAGTGACCCAAGCTCAGATTTCCTTGTTCTTCATCTTTTGGTTTGTCCATTTTCTTTTCTTATTTTAATAAAAATATACTTTCTGAACAACTGTGGATTCTACAAGTGTAAGCATAATACAACATATTCTGTTTACATACTTTAAAGTATTAGCCTCCATTTAGTGTTTATTTGAAAATATTTATTGTTTCTTTCAGATGGGGTCTGGCTCTGTCACCTTGGCTAGAGTGTAGTAGAGTGATCTCAGTTTACTGTAACCTCCACCTCCCAGGCTCAAGCAATCCTCCCACCTCAGCCTCCTGAGTAGCTGGGATGATAAGCACATAACATCATACCAGCTAGTTTTTGGTAGAATATATTTATCTTAACTCATTAAAATAAATCCTATTGCCCTCTTCTTCAGGAATTACTATTTTCTCTTAAGAACTGCTTAAACATAGACGGGATGCCAATGGTAATTGCATTGTTCGAAAATTCAATTCTGTTTCGATACTGCTTACCCTATAATTAAACAATTGAAACCACTTTGTAATTAGGACTCTTTTGAATTTATTCTGCATTTTTCCTAGCCTAAATAAAATGACTGTGATTTGGTAAGATGTCACCAAGTGTCACTGTTTTCAAAAAGTTCAATAAGCACATTAGTGCCCACACACAATTCCTGATTCTTTTAATTTTTCCCCGTTATTTTCAGCGGAAGGAGGGTACACACTTGCTCTATTAAACAAATATAAAAACAATATCAATCACTGTGGCCACTTTGGTTTCTGTTGTTGTTGTTCTAATGTCTATCAGATCACTTTGCAAAATAATCTAAGGAGTGACTAGCACCACTGAGAGAATAGAACAAAAACTCCCAAATTAAAACTCTAAGCCAAAGCCACTGAAGTTAGTAACACTGGTTGGAACGCAAAACAAGCACATTACGTTTTATAAATTGTACATGAAGTCACTTAATATTTCAATATACTAAAAGCTGGCCCTATATTATTAAAGCTGTCTTTAGAGAAGAAGTCTCAATTAGTGGCTCTGTGGTTCCAGTTGCCAGTGTTTTCTCTTCTGTGTTTAAGATACAGGATGATTGACTGCCCTCATGAATACCTGCTGGTTAGGGCTTAGTTTAAGATAAAATGCTGTTCATGGTTGTAATTTAGATTAAAGCTCTCTATAGCTCATAAACTTCAATTAAATACTTCTAACCTTTTGCATAACACAACACTGAAAGGCATTTGGTTTTTAGGTCAGCTCTAGATTTAGGGTATATTTGTGAACACGGAGCTATAATAAGGCAGGTTTGGGTGTGATTCAAGTGCTTCTGCTTTTACACTATAAAACCAGCATAGGAATGAAATGTGCATAGTTTCTAACCATCATAATCAATATACCAGGAGGTATATTTTTTTTATCCCTCACCATACTTTACTGTTAAGATGTGGAAAATAACAGGTTAAGAAAAATAATGACAAAGTGAGCAAAAGTACAGGGAAGTGTAGTTATTGAATGACCTAATTCTTCGTGGAAACAATGCTACAATACAGCAAAGGCAGACTGACAAGTTCTCCAGGCAAGATCATGTCAAATAGATTCTCAACTTACGTTCATTTATTTCTATAATTTGCCTTGCTTTGGCTAATGGAAAAAAGATTTCTCTCTGCTATTTGTGGCTCAGTTTAGTTTTTTATTTATTATGGGCATGATTTAAGAGACTTGAGACCAAAAAAAAAGAAATCCTATTATTTTCACACTTTAAAATGGAAAACATATAAATGTAAGGTAATCATCCGCAAATATTAATTACAGTTTTTAAACAGAATTTGAAAAGAAGCAATTACTCACTTGACATTATTATGCCTGATCTAGTATTGGTAAAATGTCAACAAATTTAAATCATTGTTTTCAGTGTGGAAAGGGGCTAACTCTTGAACACCTAGTATCTTTGGGTGCCTAAAAAAGGGATTGTAGTATTTTCCACCATCCAAAGTAGATTTATTATGAGAATTTTACTAAATATATCTATGTGAAACAATGCCACATTGAGGTAGGGAGGGCCATAGGTATAGGACTGCTCAAATGCTGAAAGATAGTTTTTCTTCCCAAAAAACTGGAAACAAATGTATTAATAGCCTATGGTGCTTACTGAGAAAGCTTTTAAGCAGTTTCACTTTCAAATAAATTTTGGACACTGAGGAAGCAGGTAGGAGATGTGGTCAGATTTACAAAATAAAGCAGTGGTCATCAGAGATTTCGGAAGCAGAAAAAAGGGAAAGGTATTCGAATAACTACAGATAAACATGTTTCAACTGTAAAGTCCCTAACAGAATTGGGTCTGAAGCTAGTATAATTTGTTTCATAACACATCTTCAAGAATGTAAACAGTGAAGCTTCAGGTATGAAGAGGCCATAAAACTCTTCTGGGCACCAATGAGGGTGAACTTGGTATGTGACACGGGTGACCCAGGTTGGCTGCTGAAACACAGGGGAAGATTTAAGTGGCCTCCTCAACTATTTTCTAAGGACTTTTCAATCCAATGTGCTACTATAGCCAGAAAAACTAATAAAATATTGTGTGTTGAACGTGAGCTTCTAGTTGCTTTCACATGCCATGCGAATGGGATTTATCACTGGAAACAGGTGAATGGAAACTACCCGCTTTGTGAATTTTTAATGAAGCTGGATGGATATGAGGAGTAACCCTCATCTTTTAGGAACAGCTGTTCCCTCTGGAACATACTCCTTACTGCAATTCTAAGAGACAGATTACCAACCAGTCCACAAATTAGACAAATTAGACATTTCCAATCTGCTTAATTTATATTAATTACCACATTACCAACTCTGAACTTTTACACAGTCCCCAGTGGATATCCGGATTTATTTACAAACAAACAACCATTTAGTTTATGGGCCTCTTCTGACAATCACCTGTCCATTCATAACAACCAACAACCATCAGTAAAATGGGCAACCTCAATTTGCTTCCCATATTAAACATCAACTACATTATCAAATCTTTAATCTAGGGTAAAGGCAAGAAGGTAATGAGAGATCCACATTTCTGTCACATGGTGTCACGGCTATTGTGTGCGTATGTATAATATATTTGTGTGAGAAACAAAAAGTAGGAAAAAACTATCTTTGAATTTTAATTACTTTTTTTTTTTTTTTTTTGAGATGGAGTGTCACTCGGTCACCAGGCTGGGGCTGGAGTACAGTGACGTGATCTTGGTTCACTGCAACCTCCACTTCCCGGGTTCGAGCAATTCTCCTGCCTCAGCCTCCTGAATAGCTGGGATTACAGGCAACCACCACCATGTCTGGCTAATTTTTGTGTTTTTAGTAGAGACGGGGTTTCACTATGTTGGCCAGGCTAGTCTCGAACTCCTGACCTCAGGAGATCCACTGGCCTCGGCCTCCCAAAGAGCAGGAATTACAGGCGTGAGCCACCAGGCATGGCCATTCTAATTCTTTTCATAGATGGTTAATAACTTCACTAAAACAGTATTCTCAGTGCACACACTCAAATCCATAAAAAGAAAGGTATCAGTAATGTCTGCATTTCCTTACCTTCTATAGCTGATAGGAGAACCCGGGAATGATCATATGCGATCACATTCGCATATCTATTCTTTGGTTTGTTTACTTCCAAGTTTGAATGCTCCCATGTGAACTGCTGGCCAGGGTCAATTGACTTTAAAAGAAAAACAACACAGACAAACAAAATCAATACTGAAAAACACCAGATTATAGGCATTTATCACAAGTAATAAACATGATTTAAAAGGAAAATTCTGAAGCCATACTTCATCAAGATGATCCTAACTGTGAAGCTGAACACTAATATAACTAGCGTAACAAAAAATGATTAATCGTAGCAGAAATAGTGATAGTCACCAACACTGATTCAAATGAAAAAGGAAATCAATACAGATGTTCCGTTACCATTGCAAAGGCAGGTTCTTATTTTTTACTTTTCTACTTCCCTCTCTCCTGCTGTAGTTTACAAGTTATCTTGGTTCAATAGTCCTTCCGGTTCTGTAAACCTTATTTTATATTGATCATTCTTCCCTGTTCTTTCCTGTCTGGAGCTAAGCTGAGTCTTTAAGTTGACTGGTCTTTCACTGGCTTCAATGGACACAGGCTTTACTGTTCATTCTTTACCTACATGCTCACAACTTAATGGCTACTTAAGGTTTTGTCTGTTTCTCCGTAACAACCAATATTACAAGGCAAATTGTACGATTCAAACAGTTAATACACACAGTAAAGAAGGGAGGTCAGTTAAATTTAATACTCATCTGAAATTAATAACATGTAATTCAGTACAAATTGTTTTTCTATTTATGATTATATCTTTTCTATTTATCATTATGTGTTATGATGCTTATAATTTGCTTTTTATAAATATTAGTTCTTTTTCTGATTTTATGTCTTTCTTTGATGGTGAAGTTCAACCAAACTTATTCAACAATCTAAAATAAATATCTCACAGATATAAAGTATGTAATTTTTAAAAATATTTAAGTAGAATCGTTATTTCAAGACTAAATTCAGGTTTGATCACATAACTCTAGAGGACTCAAATTTCCTGAAACGTTATGGGAATCAAAATACTTTTTCTTTCATCATAGGATACTGATACCTTTTAAGATTTATAATTTCATTGACATATGGAAACACAAGTTCATTAATTATACAGACATAATTTCAAATAATCAAAATCAGGATTTCAAGAATGATGATAAAACAGGTTTATACCCAGGTAAATTTTTTTTTAAAGTAAAGATACTGTATTATGTTAAAAGAACGTTTAGTAGTTATTTTTGATGTTGGGTATTTTCAGTGCCCTTATGTATGTATGTAGAAGTTGAGAGTAAAACATATCCATCAGCTATCGAAATATTAAAGATATGCACACTTTCTGTCAAAAGGCAGAGAATTCAGCGTAACAGTAAAACTCACAGGTGTAAAGAGTCAAGTCTGTTAGCAGTGTTGAATAGCCTCCAAACATTCTAAAATTCTCAGCAGTATAGATTTCAGCCTCTAAATTTACTAAAGATTATTAAACGGTTTTCCTTTCTTAGCCTGTGACTATACAAAATAGTGACTATACAAAATAGTCACTGAACAGTATTCAGAAAAATATTAATAATTATCCATACCTTAGAGTCTGAAAAATAATGTAATTAAAGGGCTTTCTAGTTAGCTCTTCCAGGGAAATTTTTCATCTCCCTTGCAGAATTTAATTCTCGCCAAGCATCCTATGAGCCAAAGGTACTGAAGCATTCAGATGCCCTGATGGAAGACTTCAAGTCAACCTTGAACCATGTCCACACAGAGCAGTTCCACTCAGTGGCAAAGGCCTGCCTTAAAAACCTCTCAAATTTGCAATCTCATTGCTACTTCCTACATCCAGAACATTGGTATCTGTTGTCTGATTGAAATCCCTTCTCTACTCTCTTATTCCAATCCACTGTTCATAGTGCTGCCAAAGTTGTCTTTCTAAAATATAGCTCTGGACAGGTTAGCTCCCTGTTTAATAACTTCCACTGTCTCTGTGACCTACAGCCTAAATTCTAAATTCCTACCTATGCCGCTTTCTTCATCTTTGCATTTATACTATACGTGGCTCAGTAAATGGTTCAACAGGTGTTATTTAAGCAAATGAATAGAATTGATGAATAAATATTTTTGAGAAAAGTTTATAAAGAGAAATCACAGAGTAATTCCTCTGTATAACATGGGAGTTAGAGAACAAATTATGGAAACTTTATTGTACAGAATCCAAAATTATAATACTTAACATCTATTATCATATGGCTTAGTGATTAAGTATGTGACCATGAAATCATAACTACCACTGGTATTCCATTTTGTACTGATGAACATTATTGGATACATACAACACATCATTTAAACATTCCCAAGAAGCTACTAAGCTCACTGATATATGTACAGTGCTTTTGGTAGAAGATATTACTCCCTCTTATATCCTTGTTTTACTTACACTAAGATCACCCACAGATGTGTAAGATGGCATGCATTTACTTATAATAATGAAATCGCATCTATTAACTGAAAGACACTGTTAATTCATGTCCATTTCCACTCCTGCCACGTTTTCATCTTTCTGTAGGACTTATTTCACACCTACATTGAAGACTTTAAAAAGTAATAGAAACATGAGTTGTGTGCCCCATATGTTAGATAATATGCTTTGGTTTAAAGTGTGGCCCATGAGATGAAGACCAACAAATAACAGGACAATTACAATAATATGTGCTAGGTCATTATGCTTTATATGAAGAATTATGCTTAATTTTCACAATTGTTATGAGGTAGGTATTGTTTTTTCCATTTGGCAGGTGAGAAAATTGAAGTAAAGAAAGATTAGTTATTCTTACAGAGGGCCTTCTTCATGACAGGCTCGGTGCTACTTGGTATTTAAGTAATTTGGCTAAGCTCACATGGCTAGATTCATACAGTTACCCTTAAACCCAGGTCTGTGTGATTCCAAAGCTCAGCTGATAATTAACAGCCGGTAATGACTAAGCCATGATGCTACTTAACTATCCAGAATGCCACTGCAAAAGGAAAAAGCCCAACTTATGAAACACACCTACACATCACTATCCTTTATCTCACCAGTCCAAATGGTATTTCTTCCCAACTTATCATCCTGTGTCATTCTGGGGCAATTACATAAGAAATCAAGTTTTAAAAATGAGGCTGGCTTCACAGGGATGATAAAACAGATGGGATGCAGCTTACATTTATACTCGTTTTACATGGATCAAACAAACATTGATTAAATAATGCTGACTTGTCTTTGTGCAACACAGCACTCATCCATCTGTATCTGTCTGTCTGACTGAACATTTAACAAAACACAACACAGGTCATTATTTTTGGAGCTTGTCAGAATGCTGAGAGCAGTTAAACTCAGTAAAGAACAACAACTGAAAGTAGGTGAGGTATACTAAGATTTTTTATATTTCAAAAAATATATAAAACTGGTTGAGGAAAATCAAATTTCAATTGTCCATGTTAATAAGACGAAGATATCACGGATAATAAGACCGTAATTGCTGGTGACGGACACAGTTGCTTTGCCTCTCTGCTCTCCAGCTTCTCTTACTGCTGTCCTCTTAAGAGTGAAACGGCCAAAATGAAGAAAGAATAACGTAGGCCTTGAGGAATATAAAAGTTGACTTTCACTTCACCCTGTATTTTTGATCGGTTCACCTTGACAATGAATGCATCTTTTTTTTACTGTAAAATTAAGCTGAGGTTACCCCAATATTAATTATTCAAAACAATTTGAAATAAGTACCTTTGTTCCTAATGGACTCAGTTCCTTCCTTTGGGTCTGCTGCGTTAGTGTCTGGTTTTCCTGAGCTTGACTCATAGTTACGTCTATTCAGATCTGTCTACCCAGATAATATTCTGCGGGATCCCCTTGCCTTCCCAGCACTCAAGATGAAGTTTTACCTTCCCGAGCTGAAATCCTAGCCAAACTTTCTTTGTTCTCCATTGTGGAGAATTTTACAAATTAGAAATAAAGCAAGCTAGATTTATTCAACTAAAAGTTAATTAAAACGCTTTTATATATGATATGAAATTCGTAAATTATCACAGGATTCACAAAGAAAAATGCTACTTCATCATATTAACTTTTGTGTCGCCAACCAATCAAAAAGCACCTTCAGAAACAGAGACTCAATGAACCCTATATAGCATCTAAAATTTTATCAACAAGCCAAACCAATCGGCACTACTTCCCTGCCTGCACATGGGGCACTAGGCTCCTTCTCCCCACCGCAGCTTTTCACTAGATCTTTCTAGTGCTAGCAATAGATCTTCAATTCAAAGGCTTTGCTTACACAGAAAAAGTGACCCAAGAGAAGAAAAAAAATCCTACCGTGAGTGATTTAAAGAAGAATGGGAAAGTCTCAAGCAGATACTTGCTAATAATTAAGTACTTTCATGTATTTCGTCTTTAACTTGATGGTCTGAAAGTTCTAATCCTTTTTTTAAAATCAATTAGTACTTGGTCTCAAACATGGTATTTGGAAAAATAAGCTATATATAGCAGATGGATTAGAGGTGTGCATTGTATTCTTGATAAAAATTCAGAATTAAAATATAAATATTTATATCCAATAGTTATAGTAACTAATACCTAGATAACATTTACTACTTTTCTCTGTGCTTTGTACATACTAACTCATTTATCTTCTCAAAGACCCTAGCTGTAGTTGCCATTATGATTATGGTTCTGTAGATAAGGAAACTGAGGTATAGAGAAGTCAAGTAACTTTCTCAGAGTCAAACAGCTAGCAGGAAGAGAAGCCAGACTCGGAGTCCACACATTCTGGCCCTGGAGGCTGAGGGCTCAGCCACCATAAGATTCTTCCTCTCTAGTAAGTGTGTAACCTTCAAGGAATCTTCAAGGAATCCTGAATCTTCTCCTTGAAGATTCCTTGAAAGTTACACACTTACCTTTCAACTATTATCTTGAAACACAATGCACTGGGAACAAAAATCTGTGTAGTATTGCTGAACTCTATTTGTAATTCTAAACTCCAAACAAGAGGGTGATCATAAACTTGCACATCAGATTAGTCATCGAATAAAATTATATCCTGATATGGGAGTAACCTTTCTCAGTAACGCTGAAGTCATTATCTT